GCAAAAATAATGGGGCTCTAAATAAAAACAAAGACAAAACAAAACAAAAATCAAACATACCCCTTCAAAACTCAAAAGGGCTGGAGGCGTGGTTCTAGTGCTAAAGCCCACCCCAAGTGCCAGAACTTGGGGTTCACTTGCCCATTTGGGGTGGGGGTAGGGAAGTAAACAGATTAAAATATAGTGTACCAGCATCATCAAATATATTCATATGCACTTGTATGGAGACAAGTATATTTCCCATTATGAAGAGCAACTTTTTGTTTCTATAAAAAAACTTGAGCTTCCTAATTCTGTGAGGGAAGTAACTGATTTTCAAAGCTTTTAGTTAATTATCTTACTTTCAGTCACCAATTAGCTGAGAGTTCTGTGATACCTCTTGATTGGTCCCCTTGTCAAACAATAGAAAACAAACACAAGCAAAGCCAGCACAACAACACTACTGCATTCAAAAGTTTCCTGGAAGAATTTGGGAGTCAAGAGATGGGGGTGGGGTGTAAATGGAGTGTGGAAATGTTAGAACGGAAGGAAATGCTTTCATTTACCAACATGGTTCAGCTACGGAGTGGAATTGGGCGTCAATCTGTCAGTGATGTTTATCAAAAGGTTTAAAGTTTAAAATTAGTTGTTGAAGTGAGGCTAGCTTAGATAATTGGAATATTAGGAAGCTTGAACTTTGGTTTGAGTGAGACTGAATAAATCTGTGCTGCAGATCCGAGATTGTGCTTTTACTCAGGGCGTATATCCAAGAGGCTGTACCCTTCCCCAGTGTAAACTAGTCTAAATTCTCTTTGAAGTCCTGTTGTCTTGAGAGCTAACCATTGATTTCCCCCCTCCCTCCCAATCTAATATAACATATGGAGTAAGAATGGCTGGCAGAGGTTGAAATGGAGATGACACCCCAGGGACACAGGAAGTACTCCAGGGTGCCCTGCTTTTTGAAGAAGTTCTCTTCTAAAAGAAGAGGAATTTAGAGAGAAAATCACCATATGGGGCTGTGCTACTATCTTCAACCATACACAACTGTAAAATCTGCACATTCAAAAATAGAAAACATCAAAGGGAAAAGGGGGGGGGGGGACCAAGTGGGTTTTAGGCATCTCCTTTGCCCCAGTTGAGTTGTTAATGTACAGCTTCAATTTGAGCACAAATGGATTTAGGGAGATCTATCAAGGTCTATTACAGGTTGTATTCCTCTGGCTTACACAACCCAGTAAAAGACTGAAACTACTATTTGTAACTATTTGCAACACAACATCATATCTTGTTCATAGTAAACGCCCGAACACAACTCAATAACCAATACTTAAAACAGGTGACATATTTTCATTGAACAATTACATCATATGCCATCTTCTGCTAGCTCTAATCTACTTTATACACCCACAACTCAGTAAAGACACATTCTCCTATTGCAATGGTCCTAGGCAAATTATCATCACAGTAGCACTAGACCCTTAAAACCTGGTGTCAAAATGACTTCGATCAAATTCATAGCACCGGTTAGTTCTAAAATGGCCACATACGGTTCCTAAAAGTAATAGAAAGTAGCAATGAAAAACTAAAAAATCAAATGTGTCCTAAAGGTTTAATATGTAAATGCTTGGTTGAAATGCATTAGCAATTTACTTCCCATTAACCTTTTATACAGGAATCCCATTAACTTGGTTTACATTCATCCTATAATACATTGTAAAATATGTTCAGCGTTGGTGGATTACAGATGTAGCATTTAGAGGATTTAGATGCTACTGGTTCGCCCCATAGGGTTAAAAGCGTGGGGGCAAAGGGGAATTCTGACAACCCAGACGGTTTAAGATTGAAGACTGGGTTGTGTAAAAGGGTTAATCTTTCTAGTATATTTTATCTTTCCAGAAATCGATACTTTTTTTTTTTTTAAATGAGGCTAGCCCGAGGTGTTAATATGGTTGGCTTGGCGGTGGACTCTTATTTTGGGGGGGGGGGGGTGGATGGGGGCGAGGTGTATAAGACCAGGTGAGAAGGTTTGTCGCTAGTTGAAGGGGAGAACCATTTCAGCAGTGTTGGTTAAAATGTTGCCAGCGTTCATACTTGAGTCTGGAAACAAAAGGGTTACTTGTTTCCCCACGGCCGCCTTTGCCCCCCAGATCCATTTTTCTTATTTAATCCGAGAATTAAAAAGATACAAAGGAGAGAGAGAAGACAGACAGACAGAGACAGAGAGACAGAGACAGACAGAGGGAAAACTGCAGTAAGGGCAAAGAGCTGGGGGCGGGGTGGAAAGCAGAAGCTGCAACCCCGAAAATCGTTCCTGGGCCCAGGGGAGGGGCTGGCCCGGGCTCGCCGCGGCCTCCCGCCCGCGCCCAGCGATCGCCCACGGTCTTCCCCCTCGGATAACACAATCCAACTTGTCTTTACCGACAGCCTCTCTCCGCAGCCTGTTTGAGATTTGTTTGAATAAATACGTGTTTGATGGGAATGATGGAGTCATTGAAACCGACGCACCAAGTTTCCCCCTTTCCTTCCCTTTCCTTTTTTTTTTTTACCGCGGGAAGTTCCTCAAGCCCCCCCCCCCCACTCCCCCCAAATCTGGTTGGAAAATAAAACGCTTTGTCTCCACAACCACCCCCCACCGCACCCCTGCCCGCGCGCAGTGTGTGTTTTAGACGTGTGGAGATCTCAGCCCCCTCCAGTAGCCCAGAGAAAGCAGCCAGCCAATCAGAGAGCCCGGTTTCATAAAAGCTGCTCCCTGATTGGCCAGCTGCGAAAGGGCATTGGGAACAAAGAAAAGTCCCTTTCAGGTACAGAGGCTGACAGCGCGTCTGCTACACTCCCCTGTGTGTGTGTGTGTGTGTGTGTGTGTGTGTGTGTGTGTGTTTCAGTTCTGATTTCAGTGTTGCAGAACAAGCTTGAGTGTGTGTATGTGTGTGTGTGTGTGTGTGCACCAGGGGGATTTTCATTTCGTTTTTTTTTCTTTTTGTAAAAAAGATACACAGGACGGTCTGTGGCATTTGATGGTCCATCTTCTTTAATAATAAACAAAAAATTGAAGAGATTAGAATTTTCAAAATAAAGCGGCTGCAACCACACACACCCAGTGCAGTTAGAAGGAAAAGGTCACCTCGATGCAATACAGACCGTAAGTACGGTTGCGTGGTGTGTCTCTCCAGCACGGAGCGGGGACTTCCTGCCGGGGAACGTGCGAATTTTATGCATTGAAATGAGGAACTCGTTATAGGGTTTGGCTCCCCCTCCCCCTTCTCTCTCTTCCTGTTAGAACAACCCAAGAAGGGTGAATTATTCAGTGGAGGGTGAAGCATTTGTAACTTCTTCACACCAATGAAGCTTGACTGGGCGCTTGGGGGTCACTTAAAGTAAATTACCTTCGGGGCTCTAACCCAAATGGGAAGTGGCACGGTTACCCCCCCCTCCCCCGTTCTCCAGTGCACCTTAAGCCCCCCCGTCCTCTCCTAAACTAGCTGGGCAGACCCCCCCCTCCCCTTTTCCCAGCCTGGGAAATGGGACAAGGACACAACCAGCCGATGTCTGTCTCCTGTCACATCCTAGTGCCTAATAATTTAATATTAGCCACCCCTTCCATGGCATGGCTATCATGATCATTTCCCACCTTCTTTTTAAAAAGAAAAAAATGAAAGCCAGCAGCAAAGACACCATGAAGAAGGGGTTGGTGGGGGGGGGGGGAGAGCCCCACCAAACCGCCACCAAACCCGCACACAGTAACCACGGTGCGTTGATTGCAGGACCTCGGTCGGGAGCTGGAGCACAATGTTTTTCTTTGTTTAGTGGTCCCTAAAACCCCAGTGGGTAACCTGGTGTCCTCCTCCCCTCCTCCCCACCCACCCCTCCTTCCACCCACCCCCTTTCCAGGCGGCCGATGGGGGTCCCTCTGGGGAAGACGCAACAAATTGCGGGGGGAAGTTGAGGAAAGGTTTATAAGGTGTTTCCTGCCAACATCTGCTCTGCCCTCGCGCTGCTTGCATTTCACTCCTTCCCAACTTCCGAGACGCTGGGTCTCAGAGATATTTCACATTCATAACTTGTAGCTAGCTTCCCCCCTCAACCCGACTCTCCTGCGGGGGGGGGGGGTGGAGGGGGGAGGGGAGACCTTCAGCGTTTGGGTTTTTTTTTTTTAAAGACCAGATCAGTATTTTCTTGATACGCCTGTCACCATTTTTGTTCTCACGACAACCAATTGAGCCCTTGATCCTCACGTGATGCGAAAGGGTGGCACTGTAACAAAATTGCTCCTTTCAGATGGTTGGTGGTTGCTAACTCGCCCATCCCCCTCCCCCTCTCCACCTCCCTCCCTCCCCCCACCCCACCCCACACCCCCCCTCCCCACCCGCCCCGACATTTCCAGCAAAGCGACTCTGCACTTCCAATCCATCAACAATTCATTACTGCTTTTAGCTTCCAAACGCCAGCTAATTAAAAATACTAAGCCAAGCTCTAGGGCCATCTGACTAAGGGGCGGGGTGGGGGGGTGGACGGGGAGGGGAGGAGGAAGGTGGGGGGGGGGAATAAATAGAACGGAGACGCACCGTGGGCTGCGTGCGCGGAGGGGGGAGATTTGTCCTGGAAAAGGTCGTTTTTGTTGGTTTTTTTTTGTTGTTGTTTTTAATCTTTTTTTTTTTTACTCTAATTATCGAATTACCACATGACGGATTGGCTTGCGCGACAGAGGATTTTTAACCCCCACCCCAGGGACTCTCCTAAGAACTCCAGTTCCTTTTTTCTTGAAACAACATAAAACAGGAAAACATCACATCCTCCGCGTCCCACCCCACCGCCCCCGACCCGCGCCGACGCGGCCAGAGCCGCTCAGCAGCCCGCAGCCCTCGCCCCTCGCCTCCACACCTTTCCCCTCCTCGCCTGGCACCCCGTCTTTCCCCCCTCTCCCCGCCTGATTCTTCCTCCTCCTCCTCCTCTTTTCTCCTCCTCTTCCTCCTCCTCCGCCCCCACCCCCACTTTCGTCCTCTCCCTCCTCGTCCTCTCTCCCTCCTCCTATTCTTCCTCCTCCTGGTCTCTCAAGTTAGTTGGAGAAATCAAATCTGTCAGGACGGGCGGAAAAATGCCACTTCCCGACTAACAGGCGGAATCCAGCCCAGATTTTCAATCCTTTCTTCTTCTTCTTTCTTCCCTTTCACTAATTTATCGCGGTGTTAGCACATTCTGTCTTGTTACTAGCGGACGCCTGTAGGTTTGCTACATGGGATCATTACTTACTGATCACGGTGACTGAAGTCTGGAACTGAAGGCGGAATGAGAAGTTGGGAAAACTTTTTTCTCTAAGCTCTCTCGCTCGCTTATTTTTTTTCCTTTTTTTTTTTTTTAAACACCCTATTATTCTCGATGCTTGTTAAGAAGGAAAAAAACCTTTGGGGCTTCAGTTGTGAACGTGAAACATTATCTTCCAGCTGTACAGTGACACATTTTTTTAAGGAGAAAAGGACTCCTGATCCGTGTGCCGAAAGAGGGGGTGGGGACGTGGAATAATGTTATCCAGGGATTACTCTGGCTGAGATGTGTTATTCGGTTTCTTCCTTCTTGATCATTTGGTGTTTAAGTAAAATGAGGCACAGGCTTGTTTGCTGAGTGGAGTGGGAAATGCATTTTGATTTGCTGGCCTAATTAAAAATGATAAAGGATTAAAGGTAAGCAATGGCTCTGTGTGTGTGTATTTATATGTGTATATATATTTTTTTCTTGACAATCCACTGTTAAAAAGGGGCTGATCCCTTTAAAAACCATTTTAACTGCTCTTTGTCAAACACACAATCATTTGCGGTCAGGGAGGCCACGTTGGCTCAGATCACTTAAAGTGTATGTCTTAATCAGTTTCCCTGTAGTGAGTAGCGGCGTATTTAACAGACTGAGCAATTCTGGAACCTGGGGATAGGGGAGAATTGTTTAGGTGATTTTTTTTCCCACAAAAGGCAGATATTTAATCTTTTATGCAACACTGTCTTTTTAGTAAATGATCTTAAAGGCATGTATGTGTGTTTTTCAAAAATGTATAAAGCTATGGAGGGAAAGATAAGACAGGAGATATGAATGTACATGGGATTACTGGTGGCTTTTTTTTTTTTTCTGTTCCTTACTGGGAACAAAAACCAGATTGCCCAATTTGTTGTTGTTGTTGTTTTTTAAGGCACTAAAATTAGAATTTAGTAACATTCTGAAAACTAGACACAGAGAACTTCCAGGGTCTAGTCTTTTAAATCGCCGGAACTAAGACATGCTTAGGGATATTTATTCTGTGTTCCTCTTGTCTGAGTTGTTCAGGTTGTGTTCCTGAGGTTGAGCTAACCCATGTGTCAGACAAAAATTTTAAACTTAAAGACAACAGCTTCCCCCCCCCCCAAAAGCCAACAAACAGAAACCTTTTGGACTGCAATCTGGTCCTTAAGGATGATTTAATGCTTTTTTAAAAGTGATTCTCCTTCCCCCCCCCCCCCCCTAAGATTTTTAGTTACTTGTGAGGTGCTGTCTATCATATGCATCTTTTTTGGGGTGGTGGGGGTGGTGGTGATTTTCCTTTAAAACCTCACATTAGACTGTGGAGACAATAATACATCATCCACTCTACTCCCATGGACTCCCCAATATTATTAAGTGCTTTTTAATTGTTGATGTGGCAATACCCAGACAAGAAACATTCGACTTTTCCGCCCCCTTCACAGGAAAAAAGGTTGCACCTGGGCTGACGGGCGTCTTTGTGGAGCAGGAAAATAAAGAAGCTTGGAAGAATTCTGGTGATTACCCTTTTCTTTAAGAGCAGTCCCAGAGGAGCTAAACGAATGTCCCCTCATCTCCCAAGGAAAGTTCATCGGATTCTTATTCGAGAGAGTTCGTCTTCAGGATGTCAGTGAACATTTCTACGGCAGGTAAAGGTGTGGATCCAAATACCGTTGATACTTACGACAGTGGCGATGATTGGGAAATCGGGGTTGGCAATCTAATCATTGATTTGGACGCCGATCTGGAGAAAGACAGACAGAAATTTGAGATGAATAATTCCACCAACACCACTAGCAGCAGCAGCAGCAGCAGCAGCAGCTCTAAGGATTGCGGAGGTCCGGCCTCCAGCGCCGAGGGCCTCAAGTTCGCTTCCGTGCACCCCTCGGCCGCGCAGGGGAGTTCCCACAAAGAGCCCAGCAAATCCAAAGTGAAAAGGAGTAAAACTTCCAAGGATGCTAATAAATCTCTCCCTTCGGCCGCCTTGTACGGGATTCCCGAGATCAGCAGCGCTGGCAAGAGGCAGGAAGTCCAAGGGCGCCCTGGAGAGGCGGCTGGCATGAATTCCGCCCTGGGTCAAAGTGTGAGCGGCGGCGGCGGCGGGGGCGGCGGCGGCGGGGGCGGGGGCGGCGGCGGCGGGAACCCCCACGGCCACGGCCCGGGCCCCGCCGCCGCCCCCGCCGCCGCCCCCGCCGCCCCCGCCGCCGGCCCCTGCGGGAAGAGCAAGGACGAGAAGCCGGGCAAGGGCCCGAGCAGCCGGGGCGCCAAGCGCGACAAGGAGGCGGGCAAGTCCCGCAAGGACCGGCACGACCCCCTGCCGGCGCACGCGGGCGGCGGCGGCGCCCCGGCCGCCCCGGGGGCTCACCTGTACGGCTTCGGGGCCAAGGGCCACGGGGGCGGCGCGAGCCCCTTCCACGCCGGGGCCGCCGGGGAGGCGGTGGGCAAAGGCGCCCCGGACGCGGGCGTCGTGGGAAACTCTCTGTTGGTCAAGAAGGAAGAGGAGGAGGAGGAGGGCCACCGGCGCATCAAGAAGCTGAAGACCGACAAGGTAGGAGCACCGCGCAGCCGCCCGGCTGGGATGCCCTCCCCCCCTCCTCCTCCCTCTTTCGGGGTGCACCTCGTGGGGGTGTCCCCCTGGGGGGGGGCACTCGGTGCTTCTTGGCTCTCCGTGGGCGGGGATGGCCAGGCTGTGCGCTCTCGCCCGCTCGCCGCTGCCCGGGGTGGGGGGGCTCCCGCTGCCCCCCGCCTGCGGGCCTGGGCGGCTCGGGTGGCTGCTGCTGCGCGGTGGGAGCCGAGCAGTCACCGCACCTTGGGGCCCTGCTGCAGGTGGTCGCCTGGCTTAGGCTGCCAGCTTTTTTCCTAGGAAAGCTGCTTACACCCCCCCCCCCCCCCCGCTGGACTCCTGTTCTGCTTTCTCTCCCCCCCCCCCTCCCTCCCCCCACCCCAGGAGAACTGTTTTCCGTGGTCATTTACTTGTGGGCATTATTGCTAGTAATTAACGTGTTCCTGGGAGGCAGGGTTCAGCTTCCTTCCCTCTGAGGGGAGGAGGGTCCAGGGTTTTCATCACTTTTATTGTGTCCTTACTTTCTCCAAAATTTGTTTCTTCAAAGGATCCCCCTTGGATGGCTTCCTATTTATGAGAGGTGCTTGGTGTGCTGGATCGCTAGTTTCACCACTGTAGCAGAATCGGGATAGGTTTGGTGGCGGCTAGAACTTTGGGGTTCCTCGCCTACTTTTTAGCTGGAGATGCTAAGCACGTTATCACTTGGGTATCTAAGCCTTCACTGGGGACCCAGGCAGCTTTGGTTGGATTGATGCTCCTGAAATGTGAAGCCACATCTAGAGGAGTGGGAACCGAGGGGAACTGCGTGCTGGATAGTTGGTTTAGGCCATTTGGATCCTTCTTGGTCTTGGATCCATCTTTGTCATTGTCTTGAAGTCTGCAGTTAAGGCATTGACTTGGAGAAACTGTCCTCAGTGTTGTGCGGATCAGGGTTGACGGCCTGGGTCTTGCTGGTCTGGAATGGATTATTCTGTTATTGAATAAAATCTGAGAACAGAAGGTTTTGTATCTACCAGTGAAGTGGGGTTGTGAGTGATATTTTTGTAAAAGTCTTTATAGATTAAGTCTACAGGTTGTGTCTTAGAAAAGCAGTAGTTTGTTTTTGTTTTTTAAAATCATGTGTATTGTGGTGTGGTTGTTTGGAAATATGCTTACACATTGATTTGCTTTTTGGTCTTTCTGACTTGATCAGAATTTGGACCATCTGGATGATGGTTTTTGGGTAAAGTGATTCCATTCTCTATTCCAATCCTCTTAACTTTGATCAGAATTTACATTGGAGTCTAATAATAAAGTTTTGATTATAAAAGTTAGTTCAGGGATGTAAAGATTAAAGGTAAGCGTGCCAAACTTGTAGACCACCACCAAACACTTATAATCCATACTTCCTTAAGTATTTCACGTCACTGAATTTAAATGAACTATTAAAAAAATCGCAGTATTCGAGTCTGAGTGTAAATATGTAGTTTCACATCATTCCTACTAAAAGGCATTTTGAAATCTTATTACTTAGTACAGTCGGGCATTTACCTCTGTTGCCAATAGTCTTCAAATTGCAGTTCTAATCTGCTTTAACTATCTCCATGAATTGCCGTAATCCAGTGCTCACAATGGCTGTGGTTAAGGAGTCAGAGAGATTTGATTGGATTCTCCGGCTGCTCGGAATGTGGGAGGTACTGCCCTTTTGCATTCCCTTTCGCCTTTTAATCTTCCAGCCAAATGTTCACATTCAACAATTTTGTTTAGCTGGCAATCGGAACATTGCAGGATCTCAAAGGCTGCTGTCATGGCAACTGAGACTAGAGCGTGGTGTCGGCTCTCCAGTGTGTGTGTGTGTGTGTGTGTGTGTGTGTGTGCGCGCTTTTTTGCTTTCCAGTCACAGGGAAAACTGGATGAAGAATGGGAGAATTAAATTATTTATGTAGGTGTGACTCCTCTTCAGCTGAAGCAGTAGACACGGGATAAGTGACCTAAACGAAGAGCAAACAAGTTATGCTTGGTCTTGGGCCGGAGAGGAGAGATCCCATTGCTTTTAGCTTTACTTCTGGCTCTGTGTGAGGAGGAGACTGCGTCTCTAACCTTAGCCACCCTGATGTCCCGAGGTCTCCCCGGGATGGAGGCTAGAGGCCAGAGGCCGGGATCTTGCTGTCTGGGCCATTTGTGTCAAGCTGATGTTAGCTCGGAGATCTCAAAAGAGGATTTCTCAAGTCTTTCCTCCTCCCCATCCCTCCACCCCAGGAGGACTAAAGAATGCTTCCATTCTTGGCACACCAAGATGGTACTCCTGGCACACTTACCAACCGGGGGAAGTAACTGGTAATTTTACCAATGGCTGTGTCCAATTAGTCTTCAATTTAGAAAATACTTTCTAAGGATATGAAGATACCTATTTAGAAAGTAAAGATTTAGCAGGCCAAGCTTCGCCTGATACAATGTTTCAAATCTGAAGCATCTTTGGGGCAAATTTTTTCTTTTTTACATTTTATGAAACATTGTAATTTCAGCTTCCCTTGAGTATCTGGGCTTGCAAAGAGTAATGGCCTTCAGAGTAGAGATGATTAATTTTCAGCAATCAGATGTGTCTTTTAAGAGGCTCACATGTGAAAACCAAAGGAGAGTATATACATATGCTTTATTTCTTTTCTGGTTGGAAGGCTCACAGGAGATTCATAAGACTGGCTGTCACCGGTTAATTTTCACAGCATGCTTAAATGTCTATTTTTGGTCTGTTTACTTTGTTTCCTCACTACACAAAGTCATGTAGAACATGATCCATTGGACCTTATGAAACCTAATTAAATCAATGAGTGTTCTACTCTTTTATGTGAAAACCACAACTATGCTGTAAAAGTCGCCACTCCCTTAATACGTGAACAAAATCAAAACATGCCATAATTCTAAGAGGGTTGAGCTATATTTCTATAGCTCATTTTGTGGTTAAGCCACAGTGACATGTCTGAATAAGTAGATTTGACGGGATGGCTTTGGGTTGTTAAAACCTGCCTCTTCACCTTCCCTTCCCCTCCTTTAAAAACAAAACAAAACATAATAGTAGTCTACTGAAGCTCCTCTTTAAGTCCCCTGTTAGCCATCTTACACTTTGGACTTATTAAGGGAACACTCAGCTGAGTTAGTTATACTGAATACCATACATGGGATCATTTGACCACTGGAAAATTCCAAAGTACATAGAAAAATGTTAAATACTTAAACAAAATGAACACAGGTCACATGGTTGTGTCCTTAGGGTTCCTTTCAGTACATATTCTGAGAAGAGGATTATTTCTGTAATATCATGCAGTTTTCTTGTTAAGATGATCCTTGTCATTCCTAAAAGTGATATCTACCATTCCTTTAGAAACCGTTTTACACGTCACTAGGGAATTCTAGTGCATTTTCTAAATGAGTGTGAGCAGTTTAAGAACATGTTTTGATTAATGAGTTTTGTGGGTGATATCTTTCCTTTTGTTGTTGTTCTTTTGGCAAATATAGGGCTCTTTAGGAGCTCTGCCTAGTGAGGACAGTTTGTCTACAGTGAAAAGAAAAGGCAGGAAGGCCACTTGCTATAATTAAAGAACAAAGTCCATTGTTGGATAGTACAGTGTTTTGAAAGCTACATAAGGGATTTAGCTGTTACAAACAACTGTGACTAAGAGTGGTTTTCAGTCAGCCTGGATGCATCTCCTTACATTGATCTCAGGTTTCCCAGAGGGTGACAGAGAGCTATTTGAGGTGGGCTTGGGGAAAGGCTAGGCTGTCCCCTTGCAAGCTTTCTGGGAGAGCCCTTGTAGCTTGGAGGATTTGTATGGTGAGGTCCATCATAGAGTTCCAGGTTTAGCATTTGAAAACTGTTAGCTTTACTAGAGGGATTTAAAAATACGCACAATTGCTCAAGATGGAGCTAGAAAAATGATTAGCAACTTTAATAACTTTGAAGTCTGGGCAACAAAATCAGGTTTGGGGGGGGGGGGAAATGATTGTCTAAATGTCGTGAGGTTAAGAACGCTCTTCAAGTGAAATTGCTTAGCTCCAAGATGGTTTTAATTAGAGTGTTATAAAGACTTATTTTTTCCTAAGCAGCATTTTACAGTTAGTAAATGAAATGTATGCGAAAGTGCAAAGCAGAAATCTCCCTAACCACAGAGGTGTTCAATAACCAGACTCAAACAACATGGAAAGTACCATCTGTTCTTCGTTTCCAGCATGAAAACACAGGGATTGAATGGCTGAGATTTGCTCCAGTTTTGATGGTGTCTGTGGGCTTTTTTTTTTTTTTAATTTAAAAAAGTTCACCTGGTACTTCACAGAAACTTGAAATTGCAGTAATATGAGCAACACTGTGAAAACACATGTTCCTACATTCATTTTAACCAGTTCCACTTTTACTTAAAAGACTTCCAGAAGCTCAGTTATTGACCACCTTATAACGGCTATCCAGTTCCCACAGGCATGGACCAAGAGAAGGTCAGTTTTTCAAAGATCTTGACTATTTAGTCACCACCTGAATTATTCTGTCAATTTTCCTCCTGGAGGCAAGAAGGTAGTGTGTGTGTGTGTGTGTGTGTGTGTGTGTGTGTGTGTGTGTGTGTGTGTGTTGGGGGGAGTGGGGGGGAGGAGGCCAGGGGAGGCTTCCCTGGTTAATCCAATAGTGATAGTGCTGTGGGCTGGTGTTTACAGTATAAAAAACAAGTTCTTGTTTGGAGATGTAATCTAGGATGGCTGATAAGAAGCGTGGAGTTCTTTTCCGAATAACTTTTGAGTCCTGGACTTTCTAGATGCTTAAGATCCTTATGACTTTTAGACATTCAGAGGCTTACTTCTAGATTTAGTACATGGAACCTTGGGTAAAACACTATCTGGCCTTTGTTTGAGGTCTTTTATTGAAGCTAATGACTGGGCTTGTGCCTCCCTGAGATAAATGACATTATCTCTGAGTGGGCTGACAGGAAACAGACATGTTAATGGTGAAGCTGCGGGGAGGATCT